TGGTTTCTGTTGGACCCAAGCAGCATAGTAACCAGTTGTGACAGCTCCAGCACTGGAGCCACAGGTGAGTGTGACTGTCCCTCCAGGAGAGACGTACAATAAGGATTCCTGAGTCACCACAGCCTGAGATTCAGCATCTGGAAAGTAGCAGGAAAGGGATGGTCAGGAGCGGAGACAGAGGAAACACTGCTGCCTTCCAGAGCCTTAGTGAGAAAATCCCTGCTGACCTGTGATGTGAGCCAGGAGTGTGAGCAGGAGAGGAGCCCAGGCCATGGTGCAGATAGCCCAGGGCTATGCTTTTTAAGACTGCTGAGCACACAAGCAGCCTTCCAGCTCTCATTTTAACTCTTCAGACCCTGCTGGGGGATGTGGTTTGGGTTATCATGCAAATGAGGTTGCCCTACACAGGAGGTCAGCAACTTGGTCATGTCAGACCTCCTTAGGTAACCCACACAGAATATGCATAATGGAACGCAGTGCTTAGCAGAATTTCAGCTTTTACTTGCAGTTCAAAGGCTCTGTTCCTACTGCCCTCTAGTGTCAGCAGTGAAAATACCACTGGTGGAATAATTCTCTGCAGGTTTCTTCCTTTCAGTCCCTTTTTCTTTGGGTCTGGAAGTTTTAATTTTCTCAGCAGGTTGAAGTTAGTTATGGGCTGGCCAGATAGTTCAGCAGACTAAAGCACCTACTTAGGCAGGCACAGGGACTGGAGTTTTATCCCCCGCGTGCTGTGCCTGCCCCAGCCCCGGGACGCGTGGAGAAGGGGACTGAGACTGGGTGTGGTGGCGTGCGCCTGTAATCCCAGGGCTTGGGAGGCTGAAAATAGGAGGATCACTACACGTCTCACCTGTGTAGTGATACCCTGTAGACCCTATACTGAATGCATAAAAAAAAAAGTTAGTAGCTGAAGGGAAAGCTAGGTGGAGAAATGTGAGTGTGGAACAGCTGAGTAAATTACTAGTTCTCTGCTTTTCTCTAATTCATAAACATCAGACACATTGAGTAGAGAACCTGAGATACTGGATACCTTTAATTTCTGAATTTCAGTTTGCAGGAAAGTCATATACTCCTTTTCCCAGAAAATGAGACATAATTGGAAAACACGCTGTGTCATTATTTTGAGGATGTTTGTCATATAAGGTCTATGCCAAACTGAGCCCTAGTCAAGATCCCTAGCCAGAAAGCTTCATTTTCTATGTCTTTTGCAACACAGAACACACTCGTTGAGTTATTAGCAATATTAACATATAATTAAATGTAAATAAATAATAGTGCAGAGTACTTAAATGATAATGTAATGTATAAATACATATTTTTAAATACCCACCTGGCACCTCAGATAAATTACGTGCCTTTATAAACAGTTGAATTCAAGAGTTATTGCTGAGGGGCTGGGGAGATGGCTTGATAGAATAAGCATTTGCCTGGCAAGTGCAAGGGCCTGAGTTCAATCCCTGGTTCCGACCCCCACAAACCCCCCCCCCAAAAAAAAAGAGTTATTTCTGAAAAACAAATTGGAATTCAGACACAATGCACAAATAATGGGCTCACCTGGTAACAAATGAGCATGCCTGTGTCTAGCACGAATACCAATGTTAGTGTGCTGTGTGTTGTAACAGATATACTTAGTGTACTTCTGAAATAAATGTTTTCTGATTTTTTTGTTTTTTAAAATAAAATTTAGGGGGAACTACCCACTCGGGCCCCTCCTCCTGTCCCTCTCTCAGGACAGGAGCTTTCTTTCTCTCAATAAATATATTCTGCTCATAAAAAAAAAATAAAATTTAAAGAAAATACAAAATGGTAAGAAAAACCAAAAAAAAAAAAAAAATGATACATGGGCTGGTGAGACAGCTCAGCAGGCTAAGCACCTGCTTAGCCAAGCAAAGGGACTGGGGTTCAATCCCTGGTCCCGCATGCCATGCTGGCCCCTCTGCCAAGGTGCACTATGACCAAGTCCTGGCACAGTGGTGCAGGTCTGTAATCCCAGTTCTGGGGAGGCTGAAAACAGGAGGAGCACTACAAGCCCAAGCTGTGTAGTGAGACCCTGTACTAAATACACAAATGAAAAAGAAAAAAAATATACAGAACTTCAAGGAATTTGATACTGATAATATCATACCACAGTGATATATTTGATCCCGTGTTTATAGTAGCACAGCTTGCTACATCTAAATCTTGGAAATAGCCCATCAACCAAGAAATGGATAAAAATGATGTGTATTTTTACACAAGGGAGTATTACTCAGCTGTCAAAGTAATGAATTGGAGGCTTTTTATGGGTAAATTGATACATCTAGTTACCGTATTGCCAAGTGAAACAATGCAGACCCACATGTGTAAATATCGCATTGTTTCACAAGTATAAAAACCTGAAAGAGTGAAGACAACCTGAAAGCTATAATAGAAGCTATGAAAGGGAAAGAATCTGTTGAGTGGGAAGGAAAAACTGGGCTGCTGAACAGGACAAAAGAAAGAAGGGAACAGATATATTTATGTACATATGCAGTATAGCTTGGATAATTATACTGCTGATTTCTGTTGATCTATTGAAAGGAGTGAATGAGTAACTTTTTTTTTTTCTTCTTCTCCTGTTTGTATTTTGGTTTTTTGCACTGTTCATTGTTTTTGTGTGAACCATAATTCTTTAAATGCTTATTAATACAAACCAGCCATTCACAGGGCTCACATTCATCATAGGGAATTTATATATGTGCACTATATAGCCTAATTCTTTTTCTCCTTTTTAATCCCAGTTTTTTCCCCTTTCCTCCCCTTCCCATTCACAGAAACTTTATTTCCACTTCCCCCCTTTTTTGTTTAAAATCTATTTTCTTTCCTACACTCCCCCTTATCCCCTCACTTGTCCCCTGTCCAAATTTAACATATTCTTGCTTCTAAGTATCTGTATCCTATTTTGCTCCTTGTTGAGCATCAAGATTTCTCATAGAGGAGGAACAACGTGATAAGCATGTGTCTGATTTATTTCAGTTAATATTATGGCCTCAAGTTGAGACCATTTATCTACTACAAAGGACTCAATTATATTCTTCTTTACCGTAGAGTAGTACTCTGAGGGGTATACTGCCACATTTTTTTTTTACCTGTTCATCTTTAATGGGAATTTGTTGGTTCTGGGTTTCATCTCATGTTGCTGTAGTCCAGTGTATGGACAGTGACTCTCAGAGAGGCTCCTTCTTCTGCTTGCTGCTCCTCCATCTTCTGTCCACAGTCTTAACCCTCAACCTTAAAGGTTGACAAGAGATTACACTTAATTCAGACTATTAAATTTCATTAATAATATCCTCCCTCATACTCTATTCACCCAATTCTTACATGAACTCGTGGGCTTGGCAACCCTATTACAATGAGCCAGCAGAGTGAAGCATCTTAAGGACAGGAAGTCTCAGTGACAGAACCTTACTATTTCTTCATCCACTTGCTCTGCCTGTGTGCTTTATAGAGAAAGTGCAGTCTTCAAGACTGAACTATAAAGTTCAGGATTGAGTTTTCTGACTAATTATTGTGCATTATCAAAGTTAAGGTATCCACCGGGATATCTCAATACTTGCTAAGTCGGTACAAGGTAGTTTTGGACTTTCTGTACTTGTGGCTACTGTGTCACATGGAGGCCTATTTGTAGAGGGTCATACGCTTCACCCTTGAATTTAGAAGTTAGTAACTGAGCTAGTATTAGAAACCTTTTCAACAGTGATCCTAGGTGAGTTTTCAGTATTGCATGGACAAATCCACTGCACGAATAGCAGTCAGAGCTCTGTGCACATGGACATGGTGTGAAATAGCACTTTGGGTGGCATTCATATGGGACCTGAGTGGGCACTGACCTCCCAGTTTAAAGTCAAGCTTGGAACCACTAGGGAAGTGGCAAGTGCTATCCTGTGGAAAGATCACTGATTTGGATCTAGTATAACCCTCCAAGCTCTTGTGCACTCACAGGTGGGGCTTGTAGAAAGAGACTAATTCATGGGGGTGCTACATTATCAGTTTATTCATCTAGTAGTAATTTCAGCCACTGAGCATGCTGTTAGGATATGGAGCCTGCTGAGAAGGAGCTGGTGAGAAGTAGCTCGCTAGCATGACATCAACGGGCGTCTCTTTCACCTCAGCTTTTTCTCTCAGCTCCTGGCCTCCATGAGGTATCATTCCTCTCTCAGATACATCCATTGTGAATCCAAATGAACACGATTTTCTTTGAATTGTGCATTTGGATATTTTGTTCACTTAACAAGAAAATGACTAAGACACTCACAATGTTGAAATGGACAAAAGGGAGGAAAGGGCAGGGACACACACTATTACTGTGACTACACCTGTGAACGGCTCTTCCATCTATGAAATGAAACTCTTCCGGAGCACTGGTGAAAGAGAACAGCTACTTATTTCTATGTGCAAATTCAAATATGCCAAATAAATCAGAGAAAATATCTGTACCTAGGGGACCATGTAATTAAAATTGCAAAATTATTGGCTGTAATAAAATCACACAAGGAACTCCGCTGAGACTGATTCTGTGTGGGAGATTTTTTTTCCTACCTACAGGCAGGTTGACATCTGAGTGAAAATCAGCAAATATCTAAAGGAGCGGGGGACTGAGTATACATGGGTTTTAAGGTTAGAAGCACAATTTAAGGAAATCTAAAAAAAAATCTGGGTAAAATGTGGGAGTTTGAGACATAAGAACAATCAAGTTGGTAAAGAGAGCTGGTGTCACCAGAATGCAGGGCAACCTAGCCCCTCATTAAGTGTTTTCTTTCCCTTGCTTCTTGTTTACCAAGAACAAGCTATTGCCAACAATGGAGAATTCAATGTTTCCAGTGGGCAACCCAAGACATTCCTGACATCTGGAAAGAAAGAATTTCTACAGCAGGTTGAGAAGGCTTTCTCTGAAGTGTGAGTGAGGACAATGGGGAAGGAAGAAAGCACAGTACAGATCAGTCAGAAGTTTTTTCTCACTTCCCATCTGGCTGGGTCACTGTGGGCTACACATAGCCACTCAAACTGCCATGATATGTCCCACAATGATAAACATTCTCATCTTCTCCCTGGATGTTCTGGATGATCAGGTACTGATCCAAGCCAGAGCCTGATCCTGAGAATCGATCAGGGATTCCATTGCCCTTGCATCCCACAATACCACTGCTACCTACTTGCATCACAAACTGCAGACCTTTCCCTGGGCTCTGATGGTACCATTCCACCACATAACTACTGTAACCACTGCTGAGGGTACAGGTGAGTTTGGCTGTGTGTCCCAGCGAGGCAGATGCAGAGGGCAGCTGAGTCAGCACAGGTTGGATGAGGGACCCTGGAAACACAGATGTCCTTTAAGAATCCAGTTGGGAGACAGGAAAATTATTATGGGGGAAGACAGGGCTCGTGTCTGGACTTGGACTTCAGTGGTCTCTAGGGAGGCAGTTACCACTTCTGACATCTAACCTGTGAAAAGAGTGATGATGGTAAAGAGGAGCTGAACCCAGGCCATGATGGAGATGCCCCATGGTGAGTCCTCTGGCTCAAGGTGAGACAGGGTTCCCAAGGCTCTTGTCCTCCTGTTTTATTTCATGGCATAGATTCCCATGCCAATGTTCTCATTAGTAAGGCTAGTACTTAGCAAGGGTAGTGGCTGAGATAGATAATTAACATGGATTTGGTTTCACACAGATGGCTCCCCCTGATGGCCACACATTACCTATCAGCCTTTGTGCTCACAAAAGCCATGCTGAGGCCCTGAGCTACAGTCTGTAAGCGTGGCCTGTGAGTGGGTGCTCCAAACTCCTCATTCTCCATTTCTGAAGTTTATGCTGTCTCCACAGTTACTTTGCTCCTCTGGTGGCTCCCTGTGGGATACAGCTTCCATACATGCAAATTCTGGAACTTTCTGTGGTACCTTCCCCAATTTCTTCTCTTTATGGCAGGTCTTTAAATTCTTACTCAGTAAACACTATGATTTTGCCAGCTCAGACCAGAGCTCATCCATGTCTCTGGGAAGAGACAAGGAGCCAAGTCTCCTGCTCAGTGGGCGTTTGGTTCTCTCCTGAAGACCTCCTGCTCACATTATCAGCTGTTGTTGCCAATGGGGCCCCTGCTTACTCCCAGGGAGACACCTAGCAACTCCCCCATGGGAAAGAGATTTACTATATTTCATGTGATTGTGAACCACAAAACTACTTGCAATAGTTGGATCCGAAAAACTAGAATGTAAAAGAGCTAAGGAGCTTAAGAAACAATTTATATTTTCTTCTGTTTTTCCATATTTGAGTTAATTTTCATGAAATCCTGTATAAAAAAGTCATTGTGGTGGATGCCGTAATATCGCAGAGGCAATAAATATGAATTAAGTCTTGAAATTGTGCATTAGCATTTTTAAGACTCGCTTTTCTCTTTTTTAGATATCTATAATTCACAAGAATATTCTCATAAAGGTAATATGAATAAAAATAAGGAAAGATAATGTAGCATAAGGTAGAGGATGCCATACTGAGTAGGATTCATCTTTCCTCCTCTGATCTTAGGTGCTAGTTTTAAAACCCATTGGAGCTGTGTACACTTTACTCCGGACCTGGTCTGTAATTCCATCTGACTGTGTCCTCAATCTCAGCAGGCTGGGCCACTTCATGGAAATACCTGTCTCTTACTTAGCCTAGTCGAGCTAGGTTAGGGTAGGGGGGTGGTCTCTTACATGAAGGTCACATTGAAGGCTTGTAGGGACCTTACTGCATTCTGGAAATGTCACATTAGCTGCTGTAGGACTGAATAGTTTTTAGTAAGCATACTATGAAATATGAACTATTCTGTTGCTTCAATGGTTCTGCACTCCGATTATTGTGAACGCATGTGTATCATGTGAAGGATGTTGAAAATGAGGTGGAGAGTAATATCTAAAATAAAATAACAAACCTCCAAGACCACTGTAAGATGTTGGAGCAGATATATTTTTTACAATCTACAGGACTCCTTATCAACATTTTTCAGGACCTTGACAACACACCCACATTGCCATCTGCTGGCGGGAAAATATTCCTTCATCCTGGGAGGGATGAAGCCTAAAGAGCCAAAGCCTGGTGCTGCCATCTGCAGTCTACACTGTGAACTGTGCCTCTGAATTGTGAGTTTACGGCTGCCACTTGGATTTGATATTTGCAGATGGTCAGAAAAGGAAGCTGTTACAGGTGAGGATGAAATGTAAATAAACCTAAGGTTCAGAGAAGAAGAGCCATCTGGTTCTACTGGAAAAAAATAAACAGTCCTTGTCTAGGGTTACTCTCACTCTTACTACAGATGACTCCAATACAAGGCTATTTTTGAAGTAACAGTAACAATAATGGTAATTGTAATAACGAAAAATCAAAATGATAATCCATTTTATTGGATTGCTAAAGCTGTTATAAAATAATATCACAGACTGCATGACTGCACCAGCAGTCAGTTCTCATAGGTCTAGAGGCTGGGAGCCCTAGAACAAGGTGTCACCATGTTTGCTTGCTCTGGAGTCCTCACTTCTTGGCTTACAGCTCACCAACATCTCTCTGCATCCCTAAGTGGCCTTTCATCATTTGAGGTTGTCTGTGCTGCAATTTCTTCTAAGAAGGACACCAATTCTATTAAACTAAGCCTCCACTTTTAGGGCATCATTGAATTGCCATTGCATGTTTAAAGCCTTTATTACCAGTGAAAGGAACACTGAGGGTTGATGGTTTAAGAAAACAGTTTTGGAAAACAAAATTTAGTCAGTAACATTATGCGTATGAGCCAGCCTGCAAAATGAACAGGGTGCAGGAGGAGAAATTAAAGAGAAAGAGACAAACTTACAATAAAGTGGGAACAGGGAGCTTCAGTCTCAAGAAGGGAGAGTGTCAGGTACTGAGAAAATCCCATATTGATAAGCAAAGCAAGGCAATGTAACAATCACACAACCCAGTGTTCAACAAACTTACAAATGTTTAACAAGGAATATAAAAATTTTGACTCATATAATTTTGTTCCTTTGTCCCTCGGCTGCTTTTGTTCTGTCCCAGAGGTGCTATGAGAGGCAGCAGTCCTGCATACAAAAAGGAAAGGGGCAGCTTCGCACCTCTTCTCAAGCTCCCAGCAAAGTTCAGGGCTTCAGTCTCTGCAGCTGATCACTCTGTATTACTCTATGCTTTTTTTGTGATGATGAAATAAAATATATGTGTGCCAAGGATATTCTGAATATAATTTTTAACATAGCTTATAGTTTGGCTAGTAATTGTTTGGCTGTTGTAAATTCTCCATAACCCAAATTTTGGAGCCATGGGTGTATCACAGTGATAGTATTTGCCAAATACACTTTTGTAAGAATGACTTGTTTTAACCTAGTTTGAAATTTCGAACTAGTGTGTTTTCAAATTGTTTTATGCGATACATATCATAAAATTGGATAAGAATTATCCAGAATAGTTTAGAGGTATAATTTCTGTCTAGCTCATCTACAGAAACCCTACCACTGCCAAACAATTTTTAAGTGTTTAAATTACTCTTAATTACACAACTTGTTAGTATTGCATACTGCCACAATCACCAACAGGATTCATTTCCAGAACTTTCATCAAACAAGCAGAAACTGTGTCTCCACCCCCCGCCCCCCGCCGAATGATTATGTGCACTTTTCATGCTAGCCCTTGGTCACCAGGGGCTGTTGGGGGACTGCTACATGGCCATGGCAGCACTAGTCAAGCATTCTGGATCCCATCTACTGAAGAAGTAATGGAGAAGTGAGGACACGAGTTCTGGAAGATCTGGGGAGATGGTGCTTGACCAGGTGAGAGGTTAATTCAACCTGTGATTTTCATGCCTGCAAGACCAAGTTCACGCGTGCTGCAAATGATGGCGACAAGGGGAGTGATTCCCTGATGGGAGCCAACGATTCCAGCGTTCTCTCCAAAAGTGAATGAGGATCTGGCACTGGGAGCCCAGAACTCTTGTAGAAGTATTTGACACGTGATGCATTGCCTCCTCTTGTTTACACTCTCTCCAAATGTTAAAAATCTTTCAGAAATCTCTCAAAAGTCCTGTTCTTAGTTCAATTCCCTCCCAGTAGTCAAGAATGATGTTAGTAACATCATATATGTTATACTTGCTACTATGTTCAAGAATGATTTAATTTATGATAAAAACAAGATTTCTCTAAAATTTTCACATATGCTCACTTTGATTGTGTCATTAATTTTGTAAGGTAACAGGCAGCTTATGCTATGAGCTACCTATCATTTTGGAGTATTTTTTGCATGTTTGTAACACAAAAATAGCACATTGCTTGTGTTTTTGTTAGAACAAAATGTTTTATCACTGAATATAGATATAGTCATACATAGGTAGACAGACAGAGAGGCAAACAGAACAGAGGGGTAGATAGATAGACGGACAGACAGACAGACAGACAGACAGACAGACAGACAGACAGATAATCTTAGAGACCTGAGCACAGAAATATTGAAATTCAGTCTGATTTAGGACACTGAGAGTAGGAAGAAAAAAGAATGGACGAGCAATCACTTGTCTAGATGCCAGCAGGGAAAGACAGTAGAAGTGTACATTTCATTACCTGTCCATTTGCCCCTAAATGACTTACTTCCTTAAATGATTGTGCTGGACACACATCAACTGTGGCGATTCCACAGGAATGATGATGCTGGTTCTTTCCTTTTGGCCCCGGTGCCTCCCCTTACTCAATTTTCTGTTATTTATCTTTCCATACAAGTTTCTTCTTGGAAAATACTTCTTACTATGTGATTGTCTATCTCCACCTCCTGGATGTGGGAACTGAACAATAATGATGCTAACAATAATGATAGTAAAGGTAGAGAATGAAATGGAAAAGAAAAATGAGAGTCAGAGCTCGGTGTTCATGGTGCTTTGCTGCCCAAAGTAGAGGAAGGTCATCTTGAAATGAAGTCACTGCCGTCCAAATGAATAAGTACATGCTTTGTCCAATACATTCTGGCCCAGAGCCTTGTATTTTTTAGAGCCTTTTAAATGCCATCCATACATACCCAAGGTCTGCTGGTCCTCCTAATACCTCTCAGCTCTCCTGGAAGTATTTCATGATGATTCTGCAGATGGATCACTCTAATGACCATGTTTAAGATGGTTGAACAAGTATGTCTTCTACAAAAGGTTTGTGCTGGTCATGAATTTCTTTAGACTTTAAGATCACTGCTGATCTTCAGATTACAAAACACAAAGTCCTTATATCACCAGCTATTCCAGCACCTCTTGGTATTTGGGTTTGCTTCTCTTGGATGCTTGGTTCTTCACCTACCTAGTATTAAAAAATCTCAAGTTCAAAGGTGGAGTGGAAAAACTTCCACGTGGAAATTAAATAACACCCTCCTGAAAAATCAATGAATCACAGATAAAATTAAAGAAGAAATTAAATAATACTCATAATCAAATGAAAATTCATATAACAGCTTACTGGAACCTGTGAAATGCAATGAAAGACGTCTTACAAGGGAAATTTAT